GATTAGTAAGTCAAGCTCTCTTCTAAGCTTATACAGCACTAACTTAGCTACTAGCCTACTACTAAGCGTCCTAAAGTAGCTACCCTTAACGATTAGTAAGTTAAGCTTCTCCTTAGTATAAACTCGTATAGCGCTAATACAGGCGCTAGCCTATTACTAAGCCTTTTTTTTTTTTATATATATAGTAAAAATAGCTACCTTAAACTTATAGAACGCGTATAACGCTACCTTACCTTTAGCTAGCCCTTACTAATACGTATATAGTCTTGTCTATATAGTCAACAATACTATTACGTAATTAAACGCCCTTACTACTTAGTAGTACCTAATCTTATATATTACCTCTCTTTACGTCCTTACGTAACTTATCTATATAAACGAGTAGTATTAAGCTCTAGCCTTTTTAAGGTATAACGTACCTTTTTACCTTAGCTATATTACTTTAGTATAAGTATAGACGTATTATCTGTCTTATACGAATATAATACTTATATAGTACGTAGACGTACTTGTCTCTAGTAGCTATTCTTTATATTATAAAAACGACTAGAAGGTCTTCCTTAACTACTAAGTACTACCCGGATTCTAGAATAAGGCGTATAAGAACTATAAATAAAGAGACTATAGTATAAGGTATTCTACCTATAGTAGTAGTGTATAATAGGCTTTCCTAGATAATCGTCTAGAGCTACTAGCCTTAAAGTAAGAAGAGAAGAGCGACAACAATAAGCTAGGTATAGGCGTAGTTATACGTTTTCTTAAGAGAGGGTTAGGGTCGTACAATAACCTAATCGTACTATAAGGTCTAGATAGTAAGGGTTTAGCTAGTGTTTCTCTTACTCTTCTCTTTTTTTTTAGTATAATAAAAGGTTGTACTCTTACCTAATAATCTATAACTTATAACGTCTATAATAACTATAACTCTATACGCTATAAATAATAGTAAAACAAAGAAAATACTAATAACAACTTATCCTTATACCTAGCGGCATGTTGTACAACGCCTGCCTTACTAAGTGTTTTGTTCCCTCTCTTCTTACTACTCTCGTTCTTTATATAACGCTAGTATAGTAGTGTTAGTTAGTATAGACGTAGGTTCTTAAGTAAGGGCTTAGTACCCTACTTACTTAACTAGGTACTATACTTAGCTACCCCGGCCCTATTATATAGTACGCTTTCTTATAATCCTCTTAATATAGTATTCTTCTTCCTCTTTTATAATTATAGGCTTAGGCTAATTGTTAGTAACCTCTTGTAATAAGAACAGATTATACGACACTAGGCGTAGAAGGTTAAAAGAGAACACGTTATAGATCCCTAGTAAGGTATTAAGCCGGTAGCTATATAAACCTACGACTTCTATTACTATAAACTTAGTATACTTTGTATTAAGCTTCTTTAATAAGCGGCTTATACAGACGTTCTATAGGTCGAGCTAGACCTTGTTACTAACGTTAAATCGTACGGCCTATAAGCGCCTCTAATTTGTTAAGTCCTCTTATACTTACTAGGCTATAGCTATTAACGCTTACGTCTACTTAGTCGTGTCCTTAAGCTTTCTTATAATGTTGTCTGCCTACTAGGCAAGGCTCTTATAGGTACTATATAGTATTAGGTCGTATAACGTCTAGATTAGGCTAACATAGTACTTATAGGTTAAGAAGAAAAGGCTTACTCTTATAGATACTATGTCTTAATTATTAATCGCTAACTCTATAGTTAGTAGTAGCTTAGCCTAATTATCTTAAGCGTAATTTATAAACGTATAAAGGTATGTCTCTACTATTTAGTTTATACGCTTTATTAACCTGTTTGTTTTAAGAGAGCTTTATATAAAGCTAATCTAACATATATACGACTTAGTCTTAATAGGCTACTTAGGTCGTAAGGTTACGTCTACCCTTATAATACACTAGTTCTTCTAGCTAAGAATACTTAGAGATATCTATTACTTTGTACAGAACTATAATTTATATAGTCGTAATAAGGCCTAGAGAGATTAGAAGTAAGGATTCTTAAAACCCTTACTTATACCTAATTAGATATAGAAAGAAATTTTAATTAACTTTATAGTCGACTTACCTAAGAGTAAGGGTTATACGAACCTTATAGTTATTATAGACTAGTTAAGTAAAGAGGTAATTCTTAAACTAATAGTATAGATTAGAGTAAAGGACGTAGCTAACGCGTTTATATAATGCTTTTACTAACATTATAGACTACTATATACGATCGTATCTAATAAAGGACTATAGTTTATAAGAATTATATAGGTACAGATCTACGCGTATCTAAAGATCGTATAAAGGTTATTGACCGCGTTTTACTTAGAATCTAGAACCTAGCGCTTACTTTAGAAAAGTAGCTAATTTCCTTAGTCTAAGCTATACTCTATAATTAATACTTTAACCCTAAGTTTAGTTAGGAAGACTTAGTTACTTTAGGCTAACGCCTAGACTATCTTGTTATACGCTTAATCCTTTATATAGGCCCTTACCTAGAGCCCCTCTAGGCCGCCTTCTACCTTTAGGGCCGCGTACACTAGCCTATTACCGGCTAGTATAGTACTCTTTATAAGGGCGGCGTAGGTCGTCTTTATAGATTATAGGCGTAGCTTAGTAGCTGTCGTTAATTTCTAGGAAAGAGGGTTCCTCTTAGCTGTTACTCTCTACTCTAGAGGTAGCCTGCCTAAGAGGTTGACTAGGTAGCTTAGCTTTAGTAGCTATATTATATAGTACTATAGTCGTTTATCTTTTTAGTTAGATAGTATATCCTAGTCCTATTATAATAGCGCGTTAGCTATTAGGTTCGTCTTTCCCTTAATATATAAGATTATAAAGTTATATTTTAATAAGACTAGAGACTACCTTATTTGTCGTTTAGTTAGCTTTTAGACAGTTATAAAGTACTTTAAGTTCTTATAGTCTATACAAATCTCAAAACTCTTAACACTTTATAGGCTTAAGTTCTACTCTTTAAGATAATAGATAATCGCTAATATTTCCTTATTATAGATCTTATAATTATACTTAGCTAGATTGTTCTTTTTTAAGAAGTACGTATAAGGTCGTACGACTCTCTTATTATTAACCTAGAACAGTGTCTTACTTATATACTACCTAAAGGAGTCTGTCTCTAAGATCGTCCTATAGTTATAGTTAAAAGAGGTAAGAATTAGTACTAATACAAACATCTTCTTTAGCTATTTAAAGGCCTTCTTAGCGTCCTTTATCTACTTAAACGCCTTATCTTTCTTTATAAGGTCTGTAATTAGGCGTATAATATTAGAGAAGTTCTAGATAAACTTCTTATAAAAGTTTACAAATCCTAAAAACCTCTAGACTCTCTTAACTATATAAGGTACTTCTTAGTCTAGGATAGCCTTAACCTTACCTAGGTCTATCTATATACTCTACTCGGCCTTAATAATAAACCTAAGGTACTTAGTCGACTTAACCTTAAACTTATACTTGTTAATATTAAGCTATAGGCCTACCTTCTAGAGTCTGGCTAGTACCTTTTATACGTGCTTCTTATATTCTTTAAGAGTCCCTTCTAAATAGATTAGGACGTCGTTTACGTATACTAAGCAGAACTCGTCTAGGTAGTCCTAAAGGGCCTAGTTAATGTACTTCTAAAAGGTACTTAGTACGTTCGTAAGCCTAAAGGGCGTTACTAGCTACTTGTATAGGCCGTACCTTATATAGAAGGCCGTCTTTTATTTATTACTCTTAGTAATCTATATCTTATAAAAGGCCGTAATTACGTCTAGCTTTATAAACTATTTTGCCTGTCTAATGTTCTATAAGGTCTTATAGATTAGTAAGAGAGGGTATTAGTCCTTTTAGGTAATCTTGTTTAGCCCTTAGTAGTTAATACAAAACTAGAGTCTACCTCCTAGCTTCTATACAAAGAGTACTAGAGCTACTACTAGTAAGTTACTAACCCGGATAAATTACTTGTCTAGTAGGTTAGTTAGGGTCTTTTAGAAGACTAATAGCTTGTCTCTTAACATGTTATACAAGGGCCCTTACAAGATCTCTTGTTCCTTTCTATCTGTCTTCTTAATCTTAATAGCGTAATTAACTAACTTTCTATAAAGTAGCGGTAACTTCTCTACTTCTATACAATTAAACAATAAGAGGAACTCCTAGTACTAAGTAGGTAAAAAGAGTTAATAGTTAGACTTCTTCTTAGTAGCTAGGGCCTTCTAGATATTAGCTATACTTGCTAAGAAGACCTAGAGCTTTTTCTTTCTCTCTCTCTATTATATAGTAGACGTAAACCCGGCTACTAATAATATTACGTAATTTAGAGGTTTGTCTAGGTTAATAGTCCGGTTCCTAACTTATGTACTAGACGAACTAATTACTAATTCTAACCTCTTTAGACTTAGGTAGACATTATACTAAGTTATCTAAAAGAGGCTAAGGATAACGTTATACGACACTAGGTTTAGAACTACGTAAAAGTAGCTTTTCTCTTTTACGTAACCGTTAATATTAGTATTAACTACTACGACCTTATTAATTATACTCTCTAATAGCTACTTAAAGCTAGTAATTATATAAAGGCTATAACTAATACGCTAGAGATAGTGTTTTTAGGTAAAACAAGAGTCTATTAGTCTATATAATAAGTAACTTAAATCTACTAGCGTATAGGCAAAACATTCTCTATTAACTAATATTAATACTAAGAAGAGAGGGTAATCTATTACTTTCTTCTTAAACCTTTACTAGTCCTAGTCTTATACCTTCTTTACCTCTTCTTTTTACTCTTGTTTATACTTTTAAACAAGAGCTACTTGTTTTCTAAGTTCTCTTCTTCTAGTACGTTCTCTTTGTCTAACGGTTCCTTAATAGCCTAGCGTATTATTATACACGGCCTTAAGGTAGACGCTATAGCCGTTCTCTTAGGTTAGGTTAAGCTGTTAGGTCTCTAAGCTAGTAGTAAGTAACATTCCCGGGCAAAGTAGTCCTTACTACTATATTACAGGTACTCTCTAGCTATATAGTACTAACTAATAACCTTGTCTAACACCTACTAAGCTCGCTACTATTGTTATAAACAGGTAGTAGCGACCCTTGTTATACAAGTCGGTTTCTAGTCTATCTAGTCGTTAGGCCGGTTGTTCCTTAAGGGCAGGGTATAGTAGGCCCTAGCCTAGTAGCCTGTCTGTCTCTATCTAGGCCTCTTAATAGCGTTAAGGTTATAGCTTATAGTCTCTAAGAGCTTATAAAAGTCTACGTATAATACAAGTATGTCTTAGGCTACAATTACTAGCTTAAGCTTGTCTAACACGCTACTCTTTAAAAAAGACTTCTTTATGTCGTCGTCCTAACTTAGGCCTCTAGCCTCTAATAACGTACGCTTAAAGTCTGCTAAAAACGCTATAAAACTCTAGTTTCTTTACTCTAACTTATATAACTATGTCCTAGCTAACTCCCTTAACTTTACGTTATTAAACGCTTACTAAAGTTACTCTAATAGCTCGAAATCTATCTCTTCCCTAACTATTAGTCTGTTTTGTACGTTTAACCTAACCTAAGAGGTAACCTAGGTTAAGGCCTTACTTACTAGTCGGCTATAAACGTACTAAAATCGTACGGTTAGCGTATTAGAGGTAAGGTCTACTATAAGTTTAGCTTTAATCACTAAACACTATATAGTAAACTAGGCCTTAGTTTTATTAAACATAGTAGTATCTAAAAGAAGCCTCTTTTACTACTTAGCTAGCGGCTCGGCCGACGGCCTTATAAGGGTAGTAGTAACAGGTAATAGCCTTAGGACTATAGACAAAGGCGTTAAGGTAGCTAAGATTAGCGTAAGGGGTAGTAGGTTAGTATATTAGGCTACCTAGGCTTAAAGCTATCGTACGACTTATTTTAACTACTTTACTTTGTACTCTAGTTGTTCTCCTTAACTCTATCTAGTAGACGACTACTCTTAGTTATCCTGTCCTATAGACAAGCTAGTAAAAGGTGTCTTAAAGCTTATTATTAGGTAGTCTAGCTTTATCTTATACTCTTATATAATAGAGCTATAAGAAGCTCTAATTAGATAGAAGGAGTAAGAGTATTCTAATGTTAGGGGCTAATAACACGATACTTAGGTAAATGTCGGTTTTATTCTATAAGGAGAATACTCTAAAGAGGAAAGAAAGGAAAGGGTTTATATAAGGCAAGAGGCAAGAGAAAACTCTACTGTTAGGGCAGGGCAACAATAGTCCGGTTAGTCACGTACTCGGTACTAACCCCTTACCGGGTTCTAACCCGTGACACTTACCTCTTTTACTTTATAGAAATATACCTAATATTCTAATCTCTTTTCTTTACTAAAAGGTTATAGACTATTAGAGTAAGAAGTAATAACGTAAATATAACAAATAAACCTTAATAAGACGTAGGCCTCTTTTTAAGT